GATTGCTTTATTATAATGCATCTCTTCTAAAAATAATAAGTTCACATAATTGCATTATTACTGTGAACTTCTTTATTATGTACCTTCTGTATGTTTTTTCACTAATATCATTAATTCAATGCATCAGTGTGAGGCCACATGGTTTTCTTGTCATTTGTTCTGTGTTATTCTGTCCCATTTCAATGATTGCTTATAAAAGAGTTTGTGACAGTCACTGAGCCAAGACGTCATCTGAAAGGAACAAACCAGAGTATCTTTTCTTCTGTGCACCAACCAGTTGAAGGTTACAAGTTTCAAATGTTATTTATGGGCTTTAGGCTTTAGTTTGTGTTACTGTATTCTGACTATACAGTCCTTAAAGGGAACTTCAGTGTCTGCTTTATAAAGCAACACCACATAATTTCAGCATTCAAATTAATTTTAATTTTAAATGTTTTCCATTCCTCAAATTGATCTGCAAAATGCACTGAAAGTGTCAGTAAAGTGGAACTACACTCTTCAGATGTAGAAGATTTGGTAGAAATAATGAGTTGTAGTAACTTCTGTAGACCACTAGAGGGAGTCATTGTCGTGTTTTTGTACCTTGTACCCAGCAGGAACTTCGCTTAAAGCAAACATTCAGTTTACCAACCACTCGGTTTACCATAAACATTTCAAGGATTTTCTGATAGAATTTTTGTGAAAAGTTTAATTTACAAAGCAAAATGGTAATAATGATGGCTTAGCCTTGAAATATGTTGTTACTTTTTTACAATATGGAAGAATCTGAATAAATTACTTAAAATTACAAACTAATATATAATGATATGTGTCACCTTCATATAGTGTCAAACAAGTAGCCAGTGTTGAAAACTACTCCATTATCTCCTTTTTAAAATAGGCTAATTCTGACAACTACACTTAAATGTAGGCAGATTAGATCATTAGGTCCTTTAAATTAGGTCAATTTAAAATTGATTGTATTTGTTATTGTTATCTCCACAATTGCATTAACAATCTGATCATCTGCATTCATTAAGCAGTGCCATTTGTGATGCTTCAAACACTACAAGTATTGCTACTGCTAAAGCATTGTACTGCTCCATAATACTGTGGCAAATAAGTTCTCTCAGTAGTCAGTGGTTTAAAATTCTGTATAGTGACACTGCCTTCTCATTTAATAAACACCTTAAAATCATCTCTTCCACTTCTCTGTCACACAGGATCAGTGTAGGATAAAAGGAATGTTACCATTGGGTGCTATGACCTGCTTTGACCTTCTTAATTTGCTGTGCTGTAACTTGCTCTGCCTGTTCTGGAAGCTGACTGACTGCATTCTAGGTTTGTGAGCTGTCCCTGACAACAACAGCCTGTCCCAGTTGTTCTTCCTGGTGTGTGCTTCCTCTGATAGCAGAGGGGAAATCCAAGCGAAGGGGCCAGATAGGTCAGGTGCCTGGTGGCAGATCACCTCTGCCTCCATGCTGTTATGTAACATTTGGAGCAGTGCACACCCAGATGAACTGTTTGTGATCTTAACCACATTGTTCAGTCACTGTCTAACTAATTATATGGAATTAATTAACAACTAAAAGAAAATATTGTCTGTGTTGGAAGATAATGCTTTTACATGGAAATAAGCTCAGCTGTCTAAGTAACACCATGTGTGTGGGGGTTAAATCCCCCTGTGTTATCAAATTTGGCATCTTTCCCTCTCAGTTATCCAGGCATTTAGCTGACACACTTACCCAGAGCCACTTACAAGTGCCTCAGGAGAGTAGGCTTAAATACATTTAAACAGATACAGTCTGATCCTGTTCTTGCCATTAGTTCACACAACAGCACGTTGTTAGAAGTCTTCACAGTTACATTCACAGTGTGAGGAACTCGCCATGAGTAAGTTTTATTTCTGTCATAAAAAGTCTGTTATTAAACCTGATTTTTACTATTTAATGTATTTTCAGAACAGAGACATGTGAGAAACCGAAGCTGAAGGATGTTTTCTATCTTTCATGTGTAACTCTGTACTGTGATGTAATCAACTATAGACTGTTCCAGATGAAGAGAGACACAACCATCAACTGTAGGATAAGTGTGTGTCAGGGTGTGCCTTTGCAACTATATATTGTACTGTTCAAATCCATTTTACTCAGACAACTCTGTATGCGCATGCATACTTGTCTCCTTGCTGCAAGTAAACTAATTATTTACAAAGATTCCAGTGATTCTGTGCTTCACTGAAAATTCCTTTGACAAGTAAAGAGACAGCGAAGTGAAGGTACAGACATGAGCCTTCAATGTCTTCTCAGTGTCCTTTATCAGGACAAACACTCCATGTTTGTAGTGGATATCAGGATCCTGCTGACAACGTGCTGTCCTAGCAAGTCCACACAAAGGATGGAATATTTCAAATACAAAAATTCCATAAGAGAAACATGAGGTTAGAAAGATCCTTTGACACAAGTGTCATAGCTCACATTACTTTCCATTTTTAAATTTAGTTTTATAGAATCTCCAGCATTTCATTTTTCGCACCCCAAAGTCAGAAAAATCAGTGTTGTTCCCATTACTTTTATTCTTCCATCACTGGGTGAACAACAAAATGCATCTCAGGACACTATAAACTAAAGTCTAGACCTTACTGTTATTAATATTAATATTATACAGGAAAACCCAACCCAAAGTTTACAAGCAGTGAGAGGACACTGCAATCTGGTCCTTCCTCTTTTGAAAGGATTCAACATATCCTGTTATTCAGACAACTCACCAGCAGGATAGGGTGACGCAGGAAATGATAACTAGACTGTATGTATAAGTCAAGCTCAACAAGGCGTCGTGGTGTCTGCAGGGACTAAGTGGATTTACAAAAATGTGATGTGTCATCCATGTGTGCATGTTCATTCAAATCACTATCTTTAACCTTATGTGCTTTTTAGTCAAAGCAGTAGAAAACTGATGGCAGAACAGGCGGTAGTGTGAGGTTTGTGTGTTTCCACCCATCTGTTTGTCGCTAACCTTACTGTATGTATCTAAGTCGTTCCTGTCAGAGCTGCTCTGTCAGCCTCCATCCTTGCAGTAAACAGGCACATTGTGTTGGTTATGCAGTAATGTCCCCTGAGGCTGCTGTCTTTTCGGTCTCTGTACTTTCTCCTTTGGTTGACTGGAGGAAAGAAAAGAAAAGATGTACGAGGTGATGCCAGAAAGATAAAGTCTGTGTATGTCTCTGTAGAAACCCGGTGTCCTTCTACTGTCCTCAGAGATATTTTGAGTGATATGAATGTTTTGTGTTCCATTTTCCAGCAGATGAAATACAGTCATGTGGGCTCTAGTAAATCTGGTTTGATACTGAATTTGTTATCTTCTCAGAGGCTGTCAGATATGGTGCTGGATCCAAATACCAGTGTAGTCTCTGTAATTGGATGTGTGTCCATCAGCATCACAAGTGTAGGATCTGTCATTCGTGTAGTTTCAGTTTTATGTGCCAAGGTTTCATAGTAGTGAAGGTTTGAAATGAAACCCAGTTTTCCATTGGAACATCACTGGAACAGTAAAATGGCATGATCTTAGCTTGGATGCCTCTAACTTTGTTGACAAACAATTATAAATATGTTCATAGTTGTAGTATGGGAACAGGGCTGGGGCTTACAAGCCTATCAACTGTCTGATGAAAACAACTGGTTTCACCGGGGCCCCTCAGGTCAGAGGCAGAACCAGCTGTGACAGACCAGCTTTTGTTATACTACTAATTAGTCTGGGAAACTTAACAACATCGCCACCACAAAAATGACTGAATACACTGTACCCTGTACTAGACGTTAAAGCTTAGAACTGTCCATAATTATGTTACATGCTGTTTCTCGGTATAGTTTCTAATGTAACAACTTTATGTACAGCTTTGTTGATCGTTGCTTTTAGGAAATGTTATGGCAGTGCTGACTGCATCACAGCCAAAGGTTATCTAACGAGTCCATTTCCCGGAACAGTAAGTGTTGAGGAATTGATCGCTGTGGCAGAGATGTGTCAGTACATGTTGCCACACATGCACAGGACAGACTGACCTCACATCCAGTCTAAAGGCCAGACCACAGTGATGACGATATGGATACAGTCTGCCATTGTGATATACTGTACGTCATTGTACAGATAGATAGCGTTTCGTGTCAGGATGTACTTTTTCTGGAGTTGAGATTAATCCAAGTACTTCATCATATTGTTTTTCAGTTTTACTGTCTTTCAGAGAAACAGAAAAGCTTAACATTATGCAAAACAAGAAATTACAGCAGAAAGGTGTACATATTGACCTGCACTATTACTGCATTACCAAATAAATATTACTAAAAAAAGCAGTGATTCATCTGTGTTTATGTAACAATGGGCACCAGTTATATAAACCATGTCAGATCTAGGCACCTAACCAACCACCCCAAGTCTTTTTAATGTATTTATTGGGTACTTTTCATTTACTGCTCATTGTAGCTTGTTAAGCACCTCCTCTATGTTTGCATGTTGACTAAAATAAAGTTAAACCACAGCACTCAAAGAGCGCAAACTCACATCAGTTTTCTCATAATGCCATTCCGCCTACAAGCTATATCCCCACGATAGTTTGACCCTCATAATACAATCCATTGACCATGAAAACACACCCAAAGTACTGGAATCACATTGATATCACTGGTAGTTTGAAAGTTATTCAAGAAAAAGCATATTTCATTAATGGCAGTTTTCTTCAGGCTCTGTTCATACCCTACTGGATCAGTAGGATCTCAGCTAAAATTTGGTCTTAGTTGCAAGTCTGTAGCCTTATTTGTTTTGTCACAGCAATGAGTTTTTCATGAGCAATAGAAATGTGAATAGTCTGGATCAGCAGATCTGGAATTTTATTTGGATTCAGTCAGCATGTACAGATTTTATGTATGTATGTTTGATTGATACATTTGAATTTAGATATGTAATATGTATTAAACCTGTCAACCAGTCATTACAATACTCGGCCGCTACGTGGCACTAATCACCCCTCATACTCTGCGCAGGCCTGCCGGGGGAGGCGTTCCCGGTCTGGAGCGGAGCTCGGGACGCTTCGGCTTCGGGCTCAGTGTGGACGCGTAGCTCGCCGGGGAGAGACGTCGCTCTCCGCACTGGTGGATACGCGCCATGGTGTTCGTCTTCGAAAAAGCAGTTTTTAAGTCACTAAGTTAAAGCTGGGGACGTACGTTGTACTCGTGAATCCGACGTGTGGTGAGCGGCAGACGGATGGTTGTGCGGCGTCTCCGCGGTTAGCCTGTCTTTGTTCGGCCGTCACGCCTTCACCTGCGGTATGGATCATTTAGAGAAGGAGCCCCGGTCAGACGAAGAGACTGAGTATGAAGACGAGGAAGTGGACCCCAGAATCCAGGTACCTTTCAAAGCTCAGTATCGATTGGTGGTGCTAATCGATACGTTTTCGCCGTAGAGCAGCCGACACGTCTGTGACAGCAGGGAACAAAGATGCAGGGCTACGTAGGCTGAAACGCCGCCTGGCAGCGGTGGCACTTCTCATCTGGAGGATCTGATACTGATGCAAATGTGTCAGAAAGTCGACCCTTTTCACCAAACATAATGTTAAAGATGAATTTAAAATCTGTGTATGCAGAGATTTTCAAAGTAAAGTTAGTCTTCTACCAAATACAAAGAATAATGAGGTAGACAACACTGAAAATAAACAAAACAGTTTCAAGACATCATCTTTGAGAAGTAGCAGCAGTTTTATAATTATGCAGATTGTTTTTTCAGATAATCTATTAGTAAATTGTTCTACAGCCTGAAGTCTGGGTGGAAACACCTCGTATTTGTTCCTACAGCCCGAGTTGGTGCTTGCTTTGTCCAGTCCAGTCCCATCCTCCAACAATGATCAGTTTATGGTCTCACAGAACAGAGCCTGTGAAAATCCTCCCAACGAAGAAGCTGGAACTAGTGAATGTTTGGTCCTTTTGTTTAGAAAATGAACTGATCATCAGGATAGTTGCAGATTCTGTTAATGGATTTATCGATTCAAAGACATACCGAGAGGTTCTCCTCATAAATGCCCACAAATGTGATAGTGTTCTTAGCTTGTATATTAAATGTTCACATGGGCTGTGGTGTGTTAGTAAACAGTGAAAGCAGGTGTCACCCCCCGTAGTGAGCAACCCAGAGGTCAGGGTTTCCCTTTTTCTTATCAGAGTTTCTCAATCTGTTTTGGTTGTGACCCTGTGACCTCCTCACCACCTTGCGGTATCTTCATAGGCCCTCTAGTCACCAGTTTGACATTTGTTTTCCAGTTTTGACCAGTTCCACCAACCATTATCCAGTTAAGTGGGAACCACTGACAGTGATAATAACCTAATTAGGCCAAAGGGATCGTGTAGATGGCTGGATTTGTTTAGCCAGAAGTTAAAATGGTGATAAAACGTCAAAACGTTCTCTGACTGCAGCCTCACGATGGGAGGATTTACAGCTTGTCTCTGCCATATTAAAAGTAACAGAATTCATTTGTGATGGTCATTTTTGTACAGTTTGTCTTGTTTTTTTTCTCCTTTCATGGACAGTTGCTAATTGATGAACTGAAAAACACAAGCAGGACATTAATGGATGATAAAATAATCTTAGTTGTACTCCTAGTCAAAGTGTGATTGCATATTGCTGTGTTTGGACTGATTTGGGTTAAAGGGAAACTGTTTTAGAGAAGAGATGCCTGAAGTCATGTTTAATTCACTGTTTCAGCAGTTTTATTCTTCACAGACTAATGTAGACCTGAGTCAGATACTCTAGTTTAATGTGAACCCCGCTGTGTCCTCAGTTAGTCTAATTCATTCTGGATGTGGAGAATTCCCTCTCCTGAAGGTGGTGGAAGGCAAAGAGCTCCTCCTTCTGCCACCTCATCTCCCTGCTGTCCCCTCTCTTCCAGGGAGAGCTGGAGAAACTCAACCAGGCCACTGACGACATCAACAGATGTGAGACGGAGCTGGAGGTCAGTCTGCTCACGCACACACACACACACACACACCTGTGTTCTCGAACAGCGACTAATAAAGCGTGTAATTGCACACCACGGCCTCCGTTAGCAGATCCTCTGCTCGGGTGTCGACTGTGAAACCAGCCTCCTCGGGCCGTGTTGTTTAGAAGGTGTCACCACGTGCACTCACAGCAGCTTTTTACTGAATTACAGCTTGACCTTTGACTTGTTTTCAGGCAAAAACAATTTGCAGAAAGTGCACATGTTGCTCTGTGTCAGCAGTTTGGACATCCAGGAAACTGAACTGTGACTGGTTTAGTAAAACACACTGACTTACTGTATTGTTACAATAAACCACTTTTACTGAGCACAGTTTGAGTTCAGAGTCTCGCTAAGCGACTTGGGCTGTTCTAGAGCCTGAACCTGTCACCGTGTCATTAGGGCCATTCACCTGGTATAACTAAACTCCAGTAAAAGTCGATGGCTTACATTTATGTAGGTCAGCACCACTGTAGAGGTGAAGTCCAAAGTCTTAAGGTGGCCACTGAAGTGCATACAGGTGTACCTAATAAAGTGGCTGAGGTATGTGTGTGTATATATGATTACTCTGATTTATAATTCCTCATCGGCATGTTTTCCCAGCACATTTTTGTTGGCATCCTGTTCCCGTTCAGATGGATCCATGTCACAGAAACATGAGATAAACGACTGTGCGTTAAACTTCAGCGTAGACGAGTAAACACACCAGACACACGTATGCGAAACCAACCACATCGCCGTGACCGTTAACGTCTTTTCTCTTGTAGAAGTAGACCATGAAGTTGGAAAACACTTCTGATCAAATCTCACCTTTGTGTGCCTTGTCTTGGTGGGTTTTGTCCTTTCCTCCTCATTCTGGGCAGCAGTTTGTCAAATAGTGTCATTGGACCGTATCCCTCCATGCAACCCCCCTGAACACAGGGGGGGTATTGAGCAGATTGCTGCTTGGCACACTAGAATGAGGAGAAGAAGACGACAAACTACCGGCTGGTGCTGCCTTCTATTGTCATGCACACTGACAAAAAGAACAATGAAATAAAAACAGGTTCAACTAGAAGAGTCTCAGTCGATCTATTTATTTCCCCTGCTGATGAAAACTGTGCTTTATCTTGCACATGGTGTGAAATTCTGCCCAGATTAGATTAAGAATAATGGTCGGGACTTAATGTTTCTTATCCATTATTTAGACCCGGCTCTTTGGTTTTACAGTACATACTCGAGTTCTTAAAGGTTGTGACTCATAGCAGAGGCAGCAGAAGTTTAATCTCCTCAACTAGCAACGTTGCCAGCAGGATATAGGATGGAGGTGAAGGCTCAAGAGCGTGAGTTATGTTGCTGTGTGTTTCTGACAGAGACTTCATTCACTGACCTAGAATCCAAAGCAGCACTTGAAATGGGTTTTTTCTTTTTGGTTGCAGAATTCCCCATAGTTTGTGTTGGCTTGACTTACTGAGGCTTCTTTCTTTCTTTCCATCAGGATGCAAGACAGAGGTTTCGCTCGGTGCTGATGGAAGCCACGGTGAAGTTGGACGAACTGGTGAAGAAGATTGGCAAAGCTGTGGACGACTCCAAGCCGTACTGGGAGGCCCGCAGACTGGCCAGACAGGTCAGTCAGCAGCGCACGGATAGATGGGTGGTTAAAAATAATTGAGACCCATTCAGGCCAAGGCAGAATTCCAGGTTTGTCAGAACGGGTCCACAGATGTTAAACTGGCCAGTCTCAGGTCTTCATGATCAAATCAGACAAACCACTTACAAGTCTTTCAGGTTTGAATCCTGGCCAACAAAATGCTGACCACAGCATTTTGTTTAACATAGGTGAAATCACGCCTTCCCATGCACACGGACAGGTTAATGATTCAAAGTCTTTAGGGATACATAGTCTGGTTAATGTGTCATTACTTTCATATTGTTTTGGGATTTTATCCAATCCAAAGCTGAGACTTAAGTCTTACTTCTTGTGACTCGAGTCCAGGTCTCAAGTCGGGAAACGTTCAGTCAGGACCTGGTGATTTGATGGAAGGTGGAGTGGTTGAATGCACGGATGGTAGGAAAATAGCAAGCTAGTGGAGAGAGTGAGCCGTCATCAGGTTACTCTCCTGTATGAGCGGGTGATGATGGTTGATGATTATCTAAACAGCATTCATCCAGTTATTATTGTTCAACTACAAAAAGTCCACATCTGTTCTACTCTGCTGATGTGTCTGATTAATTGCATTCCTCTGTGCAAGCATTGGTCCAGCTTTTACGTGTTGTCTGTTTAGGAGAAAATAAGATTTTCTTGCATGAACCTTAATCGCTTTCTGTCTAGTTGATCACTAAAATGCAGAAACCGTAGTGTTAGTGTTTATATTACTGTCTATAGCTTTTTATGTGTTCTTTTTATATCTGTATGATATGTTAAGTGCTTTGGTCAGCTGTGCTGTGGTAAAGCGCTATATAAATAAAGTTGAGTTGAGTTGAGTTGAGAAACTGGCCACAGGTTAAAAATGGTAAGGGGCCGTATCACTTCCCTTTTCGGCCTGGCCTCAGCACAGTATGTAAATAAAGGGGGAAGCAGCCACATGCACATCTCGATAAGCTTCACAGTCAGAAAGCACTGGGACCAACTGAGACTGAAGGTTTTACTGTGCAGTTTCCTGGCTTCTTGGGTTAAGGTGGTCCTCATACAGGAGGGCTGTCGGTGATGTTTGTGTTGTCACATAGAGGCAAACACTCGCTATGATGAAAGGTGATGTGCTGAAATACAGGTAGTGGTGAAATAGTTTGACACTGCAGCTGGAGTTCCCCATTTCAGCTTTTTCTAAGCCATTTAAACTAGGTTCTCTGAGGACACTGCTGCTATTATTTATTTCTTAACTTTATTAAGGATCACACAAATGTTCAGGGAGAGATTGGCCCAGTTTGTGGGCACAGCTACAGAATACCTATAGAAATCAGTGACGCCCAAACTTGATGCCAGACTAGAATCTGCTGTGGTTCAACTTGCTCTTTGGCCTTTGATGATTTAATCTGAGATTTATCGCAAAACCCAAACTATTCTAAGTACGGTAGATCCTGTTGTCCAAAGTCCTTAGAATCTCAGGTTCCCATCGGGAATCACAGCAGTGGCATCGGTTCATGCACTGAGGCCCTCGGGCAATCATGAAATAACGCCTCCTCAATTTATATCAAATCTTAATTTTTAAGCAAGAAATCCTACTTTATAATTCAGCCACAGTTACAAATCAGTTGTAAGTAAGACGTGAATAAGAGGAAGAGATGCGTTTGTTTGCTGTGACTCCTGTGTTTGTGATGCACCTAGCTCTCGACTGTGATGCATTTCAGGGGAACTGAGATGAGGATGTGCAGCTTGTGATCACTTCCTGTCAGCACACCTGCTTTCCTGACTTCTTCCTGACTTTTTGATATTTACTTTCACTTCTAATGCATGTATGTATATAGAATGACTTGATTTAAACTGGAAATGTGCGGTGAGCCCTGGATTGAAAGTTTGGAGAAGAGCTG